TGCCCCTTCCGCACTGCCCCGAGGGTGAAAAAGGAAGGCGCAGGAAAGGGTTTAGAAGCCGCCGGGGTCAGACTATGCCCCGACCCCGGCCATGTTCACGGGAAGCGAGGCAGCTCCACCCTCAGCGAACCCTCCCTGCGGCCGCTGAAGGGAGGCGGGACCTAACCGCCGCACTGCGCAAGCGCGGTGTCCCAGGCCCGCCCGCCCCGCTGGCGGGGTGGTGCTTCCCGCGTCGGCACGGGGGAACCTGGGGTCTCTGAGGGCCGGGGGAGCTGGAGGCGGGAAGAACAAGCAGAGCAATGCTGAGCAAAACCTCCCGGCAGGGATGAATTCCCACACCTCGCCTGGCTTCAGACGAGGTCACTATGCCTCGGGCTGCGGCTGCAGTTACAGCACAATCGCAGCTGCAGGTGTTTTCTCATTAACGGGTATCTTTAATTGTTTTAACCAGGTATCACTAATAAATTAGACCTTTAACGCTGTTGAAGGTAGGGAGAGTAAGGATCGAGTTTTGTATGGAAAGTGACCAATATGATTAAGACTTAATGCTTAAATATTAAATCAGGCTGTGAAGTGATAGCAACCTTAAGTAAAAGGCATGCTTAGCAGCAGATGTAATAAAATCAAGATATCCCTGTCCCTTCCTCCCCTTTCTTATTCACTACACACCCTATTCTTCTTCTCAGCAAACTCTAAATAGAGCAGCCTGCTCACTGATGAGCACAGAAGTCAGCTTTTTCCTTCCTAAGAGCACTCATTTAAATTTCTCTCCTTTAACAGTCATCATTTTTCACAAAAACTGTAGGAAATTAATAAACTTCAAATCCCTCACATTCTCAAATTAGGCTGGAATTAACATAAAAACATTAAACATAAGGGAAAAAAATCCCTTTTTTTACTGTGAGGGTGGTGAAACATTGCAACAGATTGCTCAGAGAGGTGGTGAAGTCTTTATTTTTAGACTTTTTCAGGACACAGCCCTGAGCAATCAACTGTAGCCCCACTTCTCTGAGTAGGGGGCTGGACTGGGCAATCTCCAGAGGTCCCTTCTGACCTCAGCTATTCTGCAGTTTTGCTGGACTTAAAATGATAGTTCACATCAAAGGGAAATTATAAGGGTCAGGGACTGGGTTCAGGGGTTAGGGCTGGGTTTAGGGTCAGGAGTCACATAAACAAAAGCGTAATAAATCCATGGCCTCGTCTCCTTAGCTTTCATCATTTATTCAGGAATGTAAGTACAATTAAGTGGTTTCGGTCTTAAAAACTCAATCAGGAATGTAAAAAAGAATATGGAAGTGTCACAAGGCAAACAATACTCTTCAAAAATGCACCAGCTATAATATCTCAGATAAACTATCAACCTCAATGTTTTTTAACCCTCCAGTTTTAAGTACTACAAATAGCATTTGTATGCAGAAACATTAACAGCTTTCCAAAAGTGGACTTAATAACTCCTAGACACCAGAGAAACACTTCCTTGTTAATAATCCAGGAGCTATGACCTTGTGTGTCAAATGAGAACAGGCTGAGCTCTCATTCACACAACTGATTTAACATTTCCTTGTTTGTCAAGTTCCACAATAGCGAGTTCTTTCAAGATTTGTATTCTTGAGTCAGTGGCTTTCATATTCATCTTGTTCATCTGTGAAACACTCAGGGCTGCTCTGTAAGACAAAAGCAAACTCTTTAGCAAAACAGGTATCAAACATCAGGTCTGGCAGAAAAAGGCTAAAAAGCGCATAGTGGTTAGTGAATGATTTTTGCGAGTGCTCTGTAATTCTGGTGCTTACTCAGCTTTTCATCAGCTTTCCTCTGCTACTTCAAACACAACAGTCATTTGCTAATCCAGCCTTAGGGTTAAAGAGACACAATTCCTGGGTTTCAAAACTTGCTCGTTTTTAACATCGGCCTGCAAGACATCCACGGCACACATCCCTGGCAGGGGTCAGTGCTCAGGGAGGGCAGGGCTCAGGGGTCATGGTTTAGCTTTAGGGCTTTGCAGATTCCAAGAGCTAAAAGTGTTTGGTGGCATGAGCGCATCAGTAAAACTTGCCTGAACAGACCCAGTTTGGGACACCTGTACAGTGAAACCAAAGTGAAAAAACTCTGTTTCTGCAGAGCCTGACATTCAGTTCTGAACATTATCAAGTCATACAAGTCATTTTTATACAAATTAATGTAAAGGGTTTTGTACGATGGCCTAACATGTTGGGCATGTACCTAACCAGGAAGGCTGTAGGGGACTAAAATCAAATGATGACGTTATAATATAGCAGTGAATGGTTAGAGCTGGTTTTGTTTAATTTGAAAAGGCTGAGTTTCTTTACAGCTTATAAAATTCTTACTAATGAATGGCTTTAAGGTCTTACCTGTTCTTATTTACAACGAAGTGGTTAAATAACTTCCTGTACAAATCGTTCAAGTCTGCTAGTTTAACAGTACTTCTGATACTCCTTGGTACAGTCATAAGTATTTCCTCAGTCAATGGTTTGAATTGTGGATCTAAAAAATTAGAAGATACTTGTTTCTTCAGAAATTAGGCCAATGTGATGAAGTACTTTCATTACTTTTTTTCAGTTTTTTTTTATTTTTTGTTGTTTTTTAAAGAAGTAGGAAAATTCCTTTCTCTAAGTAGGGATAAATGGATTAAATGAGACCTAATTCTACAGTAAGACCAGTACACCATTTCTTCCAGACCATAAACACAACAGTATCCGCTTCAGTCCTATCAAAAGCAAGAAAACCTCCCCGAGACATGGGAACTGTATGTGGAATATAACTAAGGGCTCACTTGCTTATATTAAGGCCTAAATTCTTCACATAAAAGCAGGCGTTACTAGTGCTTGAGAGTAAAAACAGCAAATTTACTGTGCATCGTAGGATCTCTGTTTTTTAAATGACAGAGCTCAGGAACCATACCTGGGTCTCAGCCCAGCCCTGTTCCTAATTACTGTGAGATTTATCTCTACTGCACTAGAGTTAAAACTGAAGTTATTTACAATATCTGCCTTTTTCAGAAAGTAGAACAGTTTAATTCATTACTTGCTAAATTCTGGATAGTAACTTGGTATGTTTAAATAGTACAAAATATTAGAGTTCAGTATTAGAGATGGAAGTCTTGAGAGACCGATACTATTCACAAAGCTCACTTACTGGGGCTGGGGGTGTGGAGGGGAGATCAGTCAAGGGGGTAAAAAGAAGAAAATGGGGAAGATCGTTCTTTCAGCACTTACCTTCAGTTGAGCCAGGGACTGCAGATCCTGAACAAAGTGGCTAGAAAATAAACAAGAGAATGTCAGCGTTTGTTGGAAATTTGTTTAGAAATTATTTTTTACAATTTAATTTCTGCATTAGAAATTACATTTTACCATTGGATAGCCAAGGATCTAGCAGCCACTGGAGTCAACAGCAACATTTGAGGCATTAAACAAACCCTGGCTTCACATAAAAATGTTTGAAGTGGATACAGAAGGATTTCTATGCAAGTCAGATGAGCCTCTCCAGCTTTCTCCTTTGCGTTGCAGCATGGATCCAGCTGAAAGCACTGCACGTGCAGCGCAGGAAAATGATGGCTTTCCTATTCTCCAGCAGCCTTCAGAGGCTGACAGTTCTGACAGGCTGAAAGCAGCTACACCCAACTCTCCTCAGCCAGAAATACAGTGCTGGTGGAAAAATCCCAGGGCTTTTGCGACATCTTTCCATTCGTTCTGCCTTTAAGAGACAACATAGGGACCAATACCAATTAAACTGGCCTCGGCAGCTGTAGGATACAGCTACTTTTTGCACTCGGCCTGGTTTATGCCATCTTAATTGCTTTAGAATTAAATAATGGACAGACAAAAATTGAGAGCATTTACCAAAGTAGGGGAAAATATTTGCAAAGAAAGAGTGAATGAAGCTGCAAGGTACTGGGTGGCTTTCATGCAAACCAACTATGGCAATAAAGGGACAGAAAGCAAGGCGTGCTTTGACAGAAGAGTAGTGGGCAGTGAGGAGACATGTAGAAAAAGATAAGGTCAATAAGATAATTACACTCTGTTAACCTTTAATATTTTGATTTTAATATCAGACCCAGACCAAATCTTTCCAGATAATTAGATCAGATGTTTGTGCTTTGATTACCTATGGGAGGATATAAGACTTTTTAACAAGTATTAGTTTAGCTCTATGTTCTACTGCATTACTGTTAGAATATGTTTAGTTACTCATATTCCAAAATTTATTTCATATTTTAAAATTTTCTCTATTTTGATATACATCGATTTGAATCAGTTACATTCTTTACTCCCACCCAAAGGCATCTTATATAATGCATTAACAGAACAACAGAATCAACAAGAGCAATCAGCTGCATATCTGAAAAGCAACATAAATATATCCCAATTAAAAAATAAGAGGAACGCAGTCTTCCGTCAAAGCAAATCTTTTCCTTTGTGGACAATTTAATTGGAACAAATCATAAACTTAATCAGTATACAGTAAAAATGAAAAGGTTTGGTAAAAACTTTAGTCCCATTTCTGAAAACGTCCTCTACAATTTGAGAGGTATTAAGTCACAAAACCAGCCCTTCTGACTTCAGTGGAGCTACTCAGGATTAATGGTTTCTGGAATACTGACACTCTGTGGCCTAATTACCTCTTCCACTAGCGATTCCGTTTCTTTAACAGTT